GGGGTTTTGACGGAATTGCGGGGTCTACGTTCCTACTTTTCACAGCCTTGTCCCATGTCATGGATTGCGTGAGCGAATGCATCAGGGTGCCACTGGTGAAGCGTTTGTTTCAGAACTTAGGTAATTATATATATTCTTTTTCCTATCAAACCAGCCTTCCAAACATGCCTTACTGGTGCACATGGATCGCGATCGGCTCCAAGACGTCCTGACAGAAGCCCGGGTCCCTGAAGGCCTGCAGGACCTCGTTTTGGCCAGGCAAGCTCATCGGAGTCACCGTTGCACTCAGCCTCAAAGAGGCTCTTTTTGGACGTGTTTGCAGGTAGGCTGCGCCCGGTGACGTTGGCAGCCATTAGCCTTGGCCTTGACTGCTTTGAGCCCTTTAACCTAGATGGAGACACTGCGCACGACATCCTGGATAACGTAGTCTTCAAGGCCCTTCTCAGACTCTGCTGGTCAGGCCTAAACCAACCCTAAACCAACCTTGCGCCGACCCTAAACCCACCCTAAACCCACCCTAAACCAAGCCTAAACCAACCCCAAACCAAGCCTAAACCGACCCTAAACCAAGCCTAAACCTACTCCAAACCAACCCTAAACCAAGCCTAAACCAACCGTAAACCAACCCTAAACCGACCCTAAACCAACCCTAAACCGACCCTAAACCAACCCTAAACCAACCCTAAACCAACCCTAAACCAACCCTAGACCGACCCTAAACCCACCCTAAACTGACCCTAAACCAAGCCTAAACCAAGCCTAAACCGACCCTAAACCAACCCTAAAGTAACCCTAAACCAACCCTAAACCAACCCTAAACCGACCCGAAAACAACCCTAAACCGAGCCTAAACCCACCCAAACCAACCCCAAACCAACCCTAAACGAACCCTAAACCGACCCTAAACCAAGCCTAATCCCACCCTAAACCGACCCTAAACCGACCCTGGACCAACCCTGGACCAACCCTAAACCAAGCCTAAACCAAGCCTAAACCCACCCTAAACCGACCTAAACCGACCCTAAACCGACCCTAAACCGACCCTAAACCGACCCTAAACCAAGCCGAAACCAAGCCTAAACCGACCCTAAACCGACCCTAAAGTAACCCTAAACCAACCCTAAACCGACCCGAAACCAACCCTAAACCGACCCTGAACCGACCCTAAACCAACCCTAAACCAACCCTAAACCAACCCGAAACCAACCCTAGACCGACCCTAAACTCACCCTAAACTGACCCTAAACCAAGCCTAAACCAAGCCTAAACCGACCCTAAACCGACCCTAAAGTAACCCTAAACCAACCCTAAACCGACCCGAAACCAACCCTAAACCGAGCCTAAACCCACCCTAAACCGACCCTAAACCAAGCCTAAACCCACCCTAAACCGACCCTAAACCGACCCTAAACCAAGCCTAAACCAAGCCTAAACCAAGCCTAAACCAAGCCTAAACCCACCCTAAACCGACCCTAAACCCACCCTAAACCAACCTAAACCAACCCTAAACCAACCCTAAACCAACCCTAAACCAACCCTAGCCCGACCCTAAACCCACCCTAAACTGACCCTAAACCAAGCTTAAACCAAGCCTAAACCGACCCTAAACCGACCCTAAACTAACCCTAAACCAACCTTGGACCCCTAAACCAAGCCTGAACCAAGACTAAACCGAGCCTAAGCCAAACCTAAACCAACCCTAAACCAACCCCAAACCAAACCTAAACCAACCCCAAACCAAGCCTAAACCGACCCTAAACCAACCCTAAACCAACTACACCAACCCTAAACCAAGCCTAAACCGACCCTAAACCAACTCCAAGCCAACCCTAAACCAAGCCTAAACCAACCGTAAACCAACCGTAAACCGACCCTAAACCAACCCTAAACCAAACCTAACCCAAACCCAAACCAACCCTAAACCAACCCTAAACCGACCCTAAACCAAGCCTAATCCCACCCTAAACCGACCCTAAACCGACCCTAAACCAACCCTAAACCAAGCCTAAACCAAGCCTAAACCAAGCCTAAACCCACCCTAAACCGACCTAAACCGACCCTAAACCGACCCTAAACCGACCCTAAACCAACCCTAAACCAACCCTAAAGCAACCCTGAACCAACCCTAAACCAACCCTAGCCCGACCCTAAACCCACCCTAAACCGACCCTAAACCAAGCCGAAACCAAGCCTAAACCGACCCTAAACCGACCTTAAAGTAACCCTAAACCAACCCTAAACCAACCCTAAACCGACCCGAAACCAACCAACCCTAGACCGACCCTAAACTCACCCTAAACTGACCCTAAACCAAGCCTAAACCAAGCCTAGACCGACCCTAAACCGACCCTAAAGTAACCCTAAACCAACCCTAAACCGACCCGAAACCAACCCTAAACCGAGCCTAAACCCACCCAAACCAACCCCAAACCAACCCTAAACCAACCCTAAACCGACACTAAACCAAGCCTAAACCCACCCTAAACCGACCCTAAACCGACCCTAAACCAAGCCTAAACCAAGCCTAAACCAAGCCTAAACCAAGCCTAAACCCACCCTAAACCGACCCTAAACCCACCCTAAACCAACCTAAGCCAACCCTAAACCAACCCTAAACCAACCCTAAACCAACCCTAGACCGACCCTAAACCCACCCTAAACTGACCCTAAACCAAGCTTAAACCAAGCCTAAACCGACCCTAAACCGACCCTAAACTAACCCTAAACCAACCTTGGACCTCTAAACCAAGCCTAAACCAAGACTAAACCGAGCCTAAGCCAAACCTAAACCAACCCTAAACCAACCCCAAACCAAACCTAAACCAACCCCAAACCAAGCCTAAACCGACCCTAAACCAACCCTAAACCAACTCCACCAAGCCTAAACCAAGCCTAAACCAAGCCTAAACCAAGCCTAAACCCACCCTAAACCGACCCTAAACCGACCCTAAACCCACCCTAAACCAACCTAAACCAACCCTAAACGAACCCTAAACCAACCCTAAACCAACCCTAGACCGACCCTAAACCCACCCTAAACTGACCCTAAACCAAGCTTAAACCAAGCCTAAACCGACCCTAAACCGACCCTAAACTAACCCTAAACCAACCCTAAACCAACCCTAAACCAACCTTGGACCCACCCTAAAATCATCGATGAGTGCGCGGGTCGCGAGTACGTGATTCACGGGTCTAAGAGTATCCGATGACAGACGGCAGAACCGTATCCGATTGGACGGGCCAGTACGCAGCTGGCAGTTTTCTCTTACATAAACACATACAAACAATAAATACATACATACATACATTACATTACATTACATTTCATTACATTACATTACATTACATTACATACCATAACATAACATAACATACATACATTACATTCCGTTACATTACAATACATCCATACATACATTACATTACATTACACTACACTACACTACATTCACCTAAATTACATTACATCACAGTACAGTACATTACATACATACATACATTACATATATACATACATACACAAAAATAGTGGTACTCTCATGAAAATACGACTACATACTGTATACATAGAATACATATATGTAATGCATCGACACACACACACACCCATACACGATGCCAGGTACTACAAGACTCACACACACACACATCTATACGTACATATATATATATATATACACAATATACGGTAGCCCCGACTCAAAAAACAACCTAGGTGTGTTCCTTTGGTAGGCCTACAAAAGTGGCAACATGATCCCAGCACCCTGGAAAAATGCATGTGTCTACTTCGAGCAGGTAAAGCATGAGTGAAACACGGCATAATTACCTGCATGATTCAGGCACAATTGAAAACCACACTGGACTTGTGCAAAGTTTGGTTTCCTTCTGGAGTTTACCTTCTTTGACCTTTCCCAAGTAAAAGACAATGTCAACAGTCAACACTTTTAGACTCATGAAAAGCAATAAGAAAAACTCTAAAGCCAACACTTTTACTGTTTACGTTCCCCCAGTAAAAGTAAACGCACTTCTTTCCAAAGTAAAACTTTGTTTACTTCGGGCAGCTTTACTTTTTTACTTTTCCCCGGAAGAAAATAAATAAACATAAACTGTAGTGCCCATGAAAAGTAACAAAGCAAAACTGCCTTACGTAAATAAGCTCAAAGTGATATCCCCAACAGCACCACACCCAGTGATTCAATTGAATTTAATACGGAAAGACTTCAATTGGCCTTTGAACATGTAATTTGAATAGGAGTTCATTCGCAGATATGTTTCAAATTTACGCGTAGCCTCATACGGAAATAACTCAATGGGCATTTGCACATAACATTTAGAAAGGAGTTCATTCCCCAATACGGTGTGAATTAACCTTGATTAAACTTTCACGGATCTATGTAAGGAACCCAGCTCAATTACAATTTCGACGTTCCATTAGACGTGAATATGAACTCTAAGAAATTTGTGTCAGAAAGCAGTTCAAATAGAATTCGTGTTGCAAAGAAGAGCTTGAATATGCACTTTAATAATTTATATAAGGACAACAGTTCAATAAACACTTTATAGGTCAATTAGAACTTAAAGATAATCTCTAATGGAATATATAAGGAAGGCAGTCCAATTAGAAGTTATATTCTGAAATAGAACTTGAATATGCACTTTGATGGTTTGTATGAGGGAAATAGTTCAGTTAGAAGCTATATTTCAAATTAGAACTTGAATATGCTTTCCTTTCCAAACATGACTTTAATGAACAGTCAATCAAAAATACAATAGACTATAACAAGGACAAAGCTCAATCACAATGCCTATTTTGAACAATCCATGTGAAGCGTGCTGAAACGTAGTGTTTGGGGATAGCATATATACATTTAAAACATGCGCACACACACACGCAGCAATCCACTAGTTCTGCTCCATTCGGCATCGAATTGTGCATTGTGGATCTGTGCCGGACTGTCCTTGTGAGAACCCTAAAGTACGTTTTCTCAAATCCAAGTGGCACATAGGCAGCCCGTAGTTGGCATTTGGACGCCGACCCTGGCAAGTCGAAGTAGCCTGGGCTGCAGCCCGACATTCGGGAGACCCAAAGGCCAGTCAAAGTGTTTGTCACGGGGCGGAGAAGGTGCGGAAGCCGTGCTTTGGTCATGTTGCCATGGCTCTTTTCTCTTTCTCTTCTCGTGTTCCTTTGTATTCTCTCTATCTCTCTCTCTCTCTCTCTCTCTTTCGCCTCTCTCATATGCAACCTTGAGACAATCAAAACGAGTGTTTGCAAGCATTGGACAAAACATTGTGTTCTGTGTTCTCCGCTTGAGAAGCCGGCGTCTGTGCCAGCCAATCACATGAATCCTCATGCTACCAGGCCCACTTTGTGGGCACAACCCAACAAACCAACTCGGGATGCCGTTGAAAGCGTGCATGAAACATCTTTTTTCAAATTCAAGTCTGGTGACACCGAACCCTTAGGGATGCTTACCCTGTGACCAATGCCTTTGTCAAAGGCCACAACGGTCAGAGTGGCGGGCCACTTTGGAGCCCGGAAAAGCGCGCCGATCTACGCCTTCGGCACCGGAAGGCTCTTCACGGCTCTCAGAATCTCCCCCATGGCAGCGGTCAAATCTGCCGGCAGGCGTGCGCCTTGCACGTGAGTGATGATCCACCTGGGCTTCACCCCGGCCACATCTGCATGGGACTGCGGCTTCACTGCAGTCACAAACATGGGCATCGTACTGGTAAAGTCCATGCCCAATGGCCTCTCCACGAACACAATGTCCCTCACAGACTTGTCTGGGAGCTCGAAAGAGAACGTGATGCCGTGACTGGGAGCGGCTGCGTCGACAGCTTTTGCTGCCAGGGAAGTGCCACTGGGCTCGTCCGGCGGCGTCACCGTGAGCACAGGGATCTGAAGGACCGGGTCTGGCTCCAATCGGGTCGTGACGACCGGGTCATCTGCCTGCCCCTGTTGCGACTGACAGCATCCACAAAGCATCATGGCGGGCGGCCCTCAAGCTCGGGCCACATCTCTGCGCCCATGCCGGCTGCAAGTGTGAACAAAGTCAGCCGCTGTGTTTTGCTTCATCTTTGGGCCGCATTTCTGGGTGCTTTCTTTTTGCTTTCTCGATATGTTTTGCATTTCGTGGCTCCCCCCCTGGTGCTCCAAAAGCAACAGCAAACAACAAATGCAACCCAAGTAAGAGAAAAGAACATGCCCCCGCAGACCTTTGCCCCCTCCAGCCGCATCCCCCCAAGGCTGAAAACGTTCCACCCGTTCGAGTCGATGGAACGGCACGCGCGTGGCCTGGCCTCAAGCCTTCTAAAGCTCCACACATAAGACCCATTGGCTGTCCTTGTGGCTTCGAGTGAGCCTTCAAGGCGTCCCAGTCAATTGCGCTGGTGTTCCCCCGCGGTAAAACAGCTTTCAAGCACATGAAGATTTACCGCATGCTCAAGCTACATCCCAAACATGATCGGTCTCCTGCACTGTGTTGGCCTCTTTGATATACTTCTTGTGGCTAGATGTTAGGTGCTACTTCGTCCAGATCGGACACGTGTCTCACCAGCTTCTTGCAACTGTACAGACCCAAGTCTTGAGACTTGGGAGGTGAAGTGGACAGCAGTCAGAGGCAGGCAGGCACTCCTCAATCACCTCTCAGTCAGCTTCTAGTAAGAAGTAGCCCAAATTGTGCGGGCCAGACATGCCAGACCAAAAACGTCGCGACTTATTTTCGTCCGCAGTCAAGCCATTTACGGCCGCTCTCCTTGGAACGCAGGATCAGATCAGATGACATGTCTCTACATTTGCAGAGCCACAGTCAGCGACCTGCTCACTTTTGTGGCAGCTCGCGCACTGCCTCAAGGATCTTTTCCATCGCTTCTTTCAGATCAGAAGGGATGGCTTCTCTGCCAATGTGGGTGAGCACCCATCTTGCTTCGATTCCAGCTGCGTGTGAGACAGAGTCCTTTCGCACTGCCTTCACGGTCATGGGCAAAGACTTGCTGAAATCCAAACCCAGTGGCTTTTCAGTGAAAATGACCTCGGCTTGCCATGCGAACAAACGCACAGGCTCGCAAAGATTCCTCAAACAAAGTTGGGTCATGGAACGATCAGCAACATGGTACTTGCGAGCTGGTGTTCGTGCCTGACTGCAGTATCCTTCAGCCACGCGGCCTCTTTCGAAGAGTTGTCTGGGAGCTGAAACGTGAAGGCAGCTTGCGTTGGGGTGGCAGATGCCGGCTCAATCTTTGGCAAGTCCACGGTGCGAAGAGCTTGGACCTCCTCCACGGCCCCATCTGGGGTCCTCGCAAGCCATTACTGCACACTGGTCATAAAGTCTTGCCTAAGAGTCGTACTTCCCAAGCAAAAGCGCAGTCAAAAGAGTTGCCCCTTTTTATATAACTCAGGAAAAGCACGACCAAGACGACAAGCGTCGCTTCGCAGCAAGAAAAGACCATATGGCCGCACTGGGTGGGCTCGAACACCGACAAAGGCTGCAATTGATGGTTGCAAACTATGCTCTGTTTGGGCAGTTCGGGCCGAGACATTGCAAGTCAATTGCAAGCCGGCAAACATGCAGAAACAGGCTCTCCGCAACCCAATACGTTCTCAGAGCAAGAATGCGGCTCTCCCTGTTTCCATCCGCAGTGCGACAGAAACACACAACTGGCCTGTCATTCTTTGACAACACACGGAAATCATTGTTAAACTTGATGTGCAATGTTTTGAGAACAATGAGCGGTTTTCCGCGGATTGCCTCTAATTGTAAGAGCTTTTGCTGTCACATATACTTCTTCTAGTTTGGCCAGAGACTAGTGCAGTCATTTCACTGGTCTTGTCTACAACTTTCGAAATAGTCTGCCTTTGTGAGAAAGCAGGATGAGGTGAACATATCTCTGCATTTGCAGAGCCTGAGTCAACGACCTGCTCACTTTTGTGGTAGCTCGCGAACCGCCTCCATGATCTTTGCCATCGCTTCTTTCAGATCAGAAGGGACGGCCGCCCCTTGAACGTGGGTAAGCACCCATTGGGTGTCGATTCCAGCTGCGTGTGCAACAGAGTCCATTTTCACTGCCTTCACGGTCATGGGGATAGACTTTCTGAAGTCCACACCCAGTGGCTTTTCAGTGAAGATGACCTCGGATTGCCATGCGCACCCACGCACAGGCTCGCACAAACCCGAAGCTGGCCCGGTCCATGATTCCTCAAACAAAGTTGGGTCATGGAACGATCAGCAACATGGTACTTGCGAGCTGGTGTTCGTGCCCGACTGCAGTATCCTTCAGCCACGCGGCCTCTTTCGAAGAGTTGTCTGGGAGCTGAAACGTGAAGGCAGCTTGCGTTGGGGTGGCAGATGCCGGCTCAATCTTTGGCAAGTCCGCGGGGGAAACAATTGTGACACCCTCAATGGCAGCTTCGTCCGCGCTCCTCGCAAGCCATTACTGCACACTGGTCGTAAAGTCTTGCCTAAGAGTCGTACTTCCCAAGCAAAAGGCAGTCAAAAGAGTTGCCCCTTTGTATATGTCAATGTCTGAGAACCAGGGGGGGGGTCTTTTAGTTAGACCCGGCCTCTCCCGTCCGTCAGATGGCATTTTTTCCCATGCTCCTCCCTACACTTTTGAGCACTTTTTAAACACACATACCAGAAATTGAAACACCTACTAAGTTAATCATGAGAAAAATCAGTATTCTCATCATCAACTTCATTTTTCGCATAGTTTGTCCAACCTTTAACCCAACCCTTACACTCATTCAAAACAACAATCCTAACTACATACTAATTAACACCTCCTCAAAAATGTCACTCAAAAAAATCAATCCACATACCAACAAATGTTCACCCTCAACTTCCAACCATCAAAATTTCATTTTTCCACTTCATGATCCAAACTGCAACCCTTAACCAAAACGAATAAATTCAAACTGTCTAATAAACAATGGCATTGTTCAATCAATTCTCGCCCTCAAGTTGGTGAACCATTAGAAAAATGAAATATTCTAATCGTCAACCTAGTCTAGATATTTTCCAGTAGCTTTTCCTTGTGACCTTGCGTCGCCTCATGTTGCTTCATCTTGTATTTGGCAATCTCAACTCCACACAGTGGACATTGCACTTTTTCTCTGTTGGCTTCCCTGTAATTCTTGTTATACTCCCTGTACTTCTCAACTGTCCGTTTGCGGTAGTCACGCTTTTGATCAACACAAGCGTCGCATGACTTCAATCCATACACAAATTCTTCCATTCCCTTTTCATTCCTGCATCTCGTACACATCTTCTTCTCCATGTTTTAGTAAGTAGCCTTTTCTTTATAATAGGAATGTCCAAGGTTCGGCCACCAAACAACCCTATTTTCAACGAAATATCACTCCCCGAAAAGTGGTTAGGAATATTCTAAGGGCTAACTCAAATCTTGAAAATAATCTGTGTGACATTGGATGGCAATATGCGGATGGGAAAGGCCTATGTAGGAAAGCACCCCCACGGCTTATACGGGAACATTAAACAAAAAATGCAACAAATAAGATTTTAAATGTTATAATTGTATTACAATTAAGAATTAAGGATTAAAATAGTAATCAGGTAATAAATCTTCAAATATGTAATCTACATCTGTTGATTGTCTCCCTGAAAGATGAAAGAGCACAAACCTTGCATTTGGGGCTGTCCAAAAAGGGACAAAACCATACACCAAAAGCGGTGTACGCATACACCAAAAGCGGTGTACGCATACACCAAAAGCGGTGTACGCATACACCAAAAGTGGTGTATGTTAAAAAGGGGCTTTTTCCGGCAGTGGTCAGCCCCAAATTATTTAACCAACCAAACTCACCAAGATTTCACAAATTAATTCGCTAGGTAGTTTATATACATCTTCCTGCTTATGTATTATTGGATTGTCTCCCCATTTTTCCTTGTTTCCATTTGGCAGTCTCTGCGCAGTTTCAACATGCGTCCCATCAACCACATTCCCACAATCCCTTTTACACAATGGTTTTGGTTTCCATGTCGATAGGTTAGTCCAGATCCTAGTTCTTTTCCTGTATCTCATCCCATACTTGCAATAGTCAACATCAAAAAAAGGCAACCCTTTCATAAACTCCTGTCCTTTCAACGGTCCAGTTTGAGGGTTTTCAATAAACCAAAAGCGGGGCTTAAAATAATCAATGATCTCAAGGGTCTTCAAAACAATGGAATTTGCATAGTCTATTTTGCGGATCCCTGTTGTCTTGGCTCTACTGTATTCAGTGCACGGGGGAGAAGCCCAAATTATGTCAAAGTGACTCCGATCAAACTGTTTGTAATCCCAATGTAAAATATCTTGGTTTATGTCAGCACCCTTCAAATCCAGTGAAATGACATTGAACCCCAGATCACGGGCGACGCGACCGACCGACCCTGTTCCACTAAACAGTTCTAATAGATTCATCAGCTGATAGAACCGTTTAGATATTATGTTCAAACCTTCAGAATTTCCGATCTCAAATAAGCACGAGTCACACCTTGGACATAATAGTAGTCTTGTCCAAGTTTTCGCTCAATCCTTTCAATTGTGAACTTGTTTGTTGACCACGAACTCGTTCTCTCCTTCTCACTGATCCCCTTTTGCGGTATATTTTGACCTCATCGCCAACCCTAACAGGGGGATATTTACGGGTTTTGATTCTGTTCATCTCAAGCTTCATCTTGACCTCAAGATGGTTTCCCTTTTTGGGGGCATCGTTTGGAGTCATATCGTGGGCAGAATGGACCATTTTACTGTTGTATGTCAGCATGATCTCGGGGATATAATCAACCCATTGTATGTTAGCCTTTCCCTTTTTCTTGTCTGCGTCAACCCTTTTAAACAGCATGTCCTTGAACGTGCGGATGAAGCGCTCAACAAAATGAGGGTGTCCTCTTGTGTTGTAATTCTCTATTTTTTGATCCTTGTCAACAAGATCCTGATTGTTAAGACTCCCTTCGTCATCAGAGTAAATGAGGTGGGGCTTCCCAAGCTTGTTCAAACCTTCCATTATCCCAGCAGTGATGTCGGCAGGTTGCTTTGACATGATAGGCATCACCGCGGCTTTACGGGAGAAAACATCAATAAGAACTAAACCTATACTAAATTTTTGAGTTTGTAAATCATTTATTGAAATAAAGAACAAATCAAGCTGAAATTCATACAGAACATGTGGAGCGATGAATGAATTGTATCCAGACAGTTGTTTTTTCCTCTCCACGTTCTCTTGAAACCACTCCTTGACATCTTGCATTGTTATGGATGCATCCTTCTTTTTTGCATCTTTGTAAGTGGTGGCAATGCTACCAAACCCAGCCTGATCGTAGTAGATCTCACTGATTATCTTGTCTTTATCACTCATATATATAATACTATAAAATAAATATTAATATGTTATTTTATCACTGAAGCATCTATTACAAGAAGAACAGAAGGCAATGACATTATCCTTTGTGTGGGGAAGATCATTACATAACCTTTGACAAGTCAGTTTAGTGTTTATATTGCCAGAATCCATTGACAACACGAAACCACAGCCACAGTTGGCACACTTGCCATTGACGTTGTCCTTCAACCGTTCGGCATCTACATAATTTTCATTTGGCCATTTTTACGATCCTGTTCCTTGTATGCTAACACCTTTCTATCAAAATAATTCATAATGCATTTTGCGTTAAACTCTTCATCTAAACCACTACTGTATTTGTAAAATTTTACTCTGTTTAAATCCCTTGCTCTAGTGATTGCAGTCCAAAGCCACTCACGAGTTATCAGATGATGGTTCCAATCAAAAAAGGTGACATCATCATCAATGGAACACCCCTGACCCTGAACAGAATGACAAGTATAACAGAAGGCAAAGATAAAATGACTTCTCAAGATACCAATATTTAGCGTGATCTCTTCTCGTGTTTTGATATGAGCAATGGTAATCCAAGGGTCGGAAATATTAATTATCTCATACCTAAAATTCACATTTAACTTATAGGTTTTTGTCTTCCTATACTCTCTGCATATCATGATCTCGCCGACTTCAAACTCATTTTGTTTGCCCTGTCGTTTCCTGATCTGCCTTGAAACCTCTCTACAAGTGTTATTTAAATATGCGATGTTACTCCCTGTCCCTGTTATGTCATCCGTATATTTAAAATACTTATTGATGATCTCATGTAGAGACAACCCATGCCCAAAGATGTCAGCATAAATACTTTTAAGTTTATCCTTGTCCTCCTGAGTCTTCAACCGCTTACATTCTTCCAAAAACAAATGATGGGGAAAAATGCTGTCAATACATTCATTCTTTTCAATCTCGAGTTTCTTAGTGTTAGTCAATGCTTTTATGGGGCTCAATTGCTTGGCATCAGCAGTAGCTAATATGATTTTGTTAGCCCTATGTTGCTCTACAAAGCCCTTGTTTTTTGCCCGTACAAAGGTATTTTTAAGACAAATGTCATCAAACACAATGACATCAAACATCGAATGATCGTATTTATCTAGCTTCTCGTCATTGACTGCTATACTGAAGAATGTATTTACAGTGACGCTTTCCACTTCGCACTCCAAACCCAGATTATTGGTAGGAACCACGAACAACACTTTATAACCCTTGAGTCTCTCCATGTTCTTGCAGATGGTGGACTTCCCCGCTCCTGCGAATTTGGCCTTGATCATCAAGCACCTATATTTCTCAACAAGTTCAACCAATTCATTTTCATTATACTCATTAATGATGTTAACTCTCTTACTTTTGACAATCGGGATATCAACATATTCACACTTCTTCTGTTCATACAACTGCTTTCCTGTATGATGGATCTCATCGTGAGTCTTGGCTAATTTCCACCCACCGATCCCATCGTGAAAATCTAGCAACTGCTGAGTCTTTCTCAAACTAAACTTATTAAAACCCGAACAGCCCACGACAAAAGCGTCGCATTTGACACTCAATACCTTAACATTATTCTCTGTCAATTTTTGATATGCGCATTGCATTTTGAAATTGTGATACTGCAATAGCATTTCTTTAATAAAACGAAGCCCATTGGACAACTCGCGCCTATCAACCACATTCAGAATGTAATAAAGCGAGTCATTTTTTTTCACTTACTTCCCTGTCCCGACACCACACCCCGTTTTCATCAAACTCTTCAACCCACTTGGCGGTATGCTTACTCATCATGTTTAGCTTCCCCCCTGCATCTGCCTGAATGCTGATCGCCTCATTGATATCATCAAAAACGAATGATCTCTGACTGCTGTTCTTACTTTTTTCCAACAAGCCAAAAATCGAGTTGGCTATCATGTTTTTAATTGCCTTGTCTTCTTCAATATTTTCGCTTATTCGCTTTCCCCAGAGTTCCTCAACCAACATTTTGTTATCTACCTTGTGAATGAAATGTGGCTGTTTGTAGTGAGTAATGGACA